TTTTGCAATTTTGATATTATTATTATTTGTTTTGAAAAGAGAAAATCAATAAGTCTAGGCATAAAAAACGTCTAAGGGACCTGTTAGAATCTAGAGAGGGTCAGCAAACACATAATAGGTTCAGTAGGAGACATGAAAATATCAACAAATTGAGGAATTATCATACAAACAAATAGTTTAAAGTGTTAATAATGTTTCCATGATATTCCAATGTTATAACAACTAAATTTGCACCTTAATTTTATTACTTAAAGTAAATACACCTGGGTATAGAGTCACTTGTATTTCAGTACCTGTAGGTAAAACAATTCTGAACCACCCCTCTATAATATCTGCCTCAGTTTTATCAAATCCACATTACTACTAAGCTTTACAAAACAAATCTCTTGTTATCTCCTCAACAATTGAGTAACACATGTCAAGGAGATTTGTTGCTGTCAATATTGCCTCCCCTCCATACCCCTCTAACTGCATGCACCCGCCTCGTATATTGCAAATCACAAGTGTGATTAAGAAACTGATTCCTGACTTCGAAAAATCACAACAAAAGAAATCTAAAAAAACTGTCGACACAATGCCCAAGGGATTTTCAATCTTTCTACATGTTTAGCTTCTTTCATATCAAGTATGGTCCCATAAAGCCATTGTTCTGACTTTCTAAGCACTGCGTAGGAGTTCACAAGAGGAAAATCAATGAGGAAACAGACTCCCTATTGTGCAACAATGGGGGCCCAGGAGACTACATCGGATTTGAGGTTAAAATTCAGAAAAGACCTTCTGGTGACAAGATACGAACAAATGGGTCATGTTCCAAAGCCATGTCAATCATATATAAAAGAATTAGATAATGATCGCTACCTGCATGGTATAATTGTGTTAAAACTATACCCTGGTAACGTCATACAGACATACAGAGATTACCGAAGTCAGACACAGGAGATAAAGGTACTGAACAAGGAGTATTGTTTACCATGTTAACTTATAGTCCAGACAACCATCGGAAATGATGTCAAGTCATCTGTAGTTACTCATGTCCACATGTCAGATCCTAATGGTCCATCCTCCTAAATGATATCTCATTATTAAATTGTGAGAAGAGTCAAAAGGAGAGATTATCTGGCATGAGAAAATCATGTCAAAAGGAGTGAGTATCAGTATAAGACCATGTCAAAAGGAGAGAGTATTAGTATAAGACCATGTCAAAAGGAGAGAGTATTAGTATAAGACCATGTCAAAAGGAGAGAGTATTATTATTAGACCATGTCAAAAGGAGAGAGTATTAGTATAAGACCATGTCAAAAGGAGAGAGTATTAGTGTGAGAAGACCATGTCAAAAGGAGAGCGTCTTTGGTGTGAGAAGAGTGTGTCAAAAGGAGAGATTCTTTTGTTTGAGAAGATTGTGTTAAAAGGAGAGTCTTTTGTGTGAGAAGATTGTGTCAAAAGGAGAGAGTCTCTTGTGTGAGAAGACCATATCAAAAGGAGAGAGTATTAGTGTGAGAAGACCATGTCAAAAGGAGAGCGTCTTTGGTGTGAGAAGAGTGTGTCAAAAGGAGAGATTCTTTTGTTTGAGAAGATTGTGTTAAAAGGAGAGTCTTTTGTGTGAGAAGATTGTGTCAAAAGGAGAGAGTCTCTTGTGTGAGAAGACCATATCAAAAGGAGAGAGTATTAGTGTGAGAAGACCATATCAAAAGGAGAGCGTCTTTGGTGTGAGAAGACCATGTCAAAAGGAGAGAGTATTCGTGTGAGAAGACCATGTCAAAAGGAGAGTATTAATGTGAGAAGACCATATCAAAAGGAGAAAGTATTCGTGTGAGAAGACCATGTCAAAAGGAGAGCGTCTTTGGTGTGAGAAGAGTGTGTCAAAAGGAGAGAGTCTTTTGTTTGAGAAGATTGTGTAAAAAGGAGAGAGTCTTTTGTGTGAGAAGATTGTGTCAAAAGGAGAGAGTCTTTTGTGTGAGAAGATTGTGTAAAAAGAGAGATTATTTGGTGTGAGAAGAACATGTCAAAAGGAGGGAGTATATAGTGTGAAAACATGTCAAAAGGAGAGAAGATCTGGTGTGAGAAGACCATGTCAAAAGGAGATGTAAACTGTCTACAGCAGTAACCATAATTTGTTAACTTGGACTTGGCCTCTAGGTGATGATGGAGAAGTGACTATCCATGGTTGGCCTCTCCAGGTGCAAGTACAGGACTATCTATACCACAAGGTTATATATTTTTAAATACTTTTCCAATCGCTTCTTCAGAACACTAGTTCTGAGTGACTGCTTTGCCACCTGGATGACACATTTAACCACACCCTACATCACACAAAACCATGGCCTACTGAATGGTGGAAGCTATCTACAGCCTACACCACACAAAACCATGGCCTACTGAATAGTGGAAGCTATCGACCGCCTACATCACACAAAACCATGGCCTACTGAATGGTGGAAGCTATCGCCAGCCTACATCACACTAAACCATGGCCTACTGAATAGTGGAAGCTATCTACAGCCTACATCACACTAAACCATGGCCTACTGAATGGTGGAAGCTATCGACAGCCTACATCACACTAAACCATGGCCTACTGAATACTGAATAGTGGAAGCTATCGACAGCCTACATCACACAAAACCATGGCCTACTGAATAGTGGAAGCTATCGACAGCCTACATCACACTAAACCATGGCCTACTGAATAGTGGAAGCTATCGACAGCCTACATCACACTAAACCATGGCCTACTGAATAGTGGAAGCTATCGACCGCCTACATCACACAAAACCATGGCCTACTGAATGGTGGAAGCTATCGCCAGCCTACATCACACTAAACCATGGCCTACTGAATAGTGGAAGCTATCTACAGCCTACATCACACTAAACCATGGCCTACTGAATGGTGGAAGCTATCGACAGCCTACATCACACTAAACCATGGCCTACTGAATACTGAATAGTGGAAGCTATCGACAGCCTACATCACACTAAACCATGGCCTACTGAATACTGAAGAGGGGAAGCTATCGACAGCCTACATCACACAAAACCATGGCCTACTGAATAGTGGAAGCTATCAACAGCCTACATCACACTAAACCATGGCCTACTGAATACTGAATAGTGGAAGCTATCGACAGCCTACATCACACAAAACCATGGCCTACTGAATAGTGGAAGCTATCGACAGCCTACATCACACTAAACCATGGCCTACTGAATAGTGGAAGCTATCGACAGCCTACATCACACTAAACCATGGCCTACTGAATAGTGGAAGCTATCGACAGCCTACATCACACTAAACCATGGCCTACTGAATGGTGGAAGCTATCTACAGCCTACATCACACTAAACCATGGCCTACTGAATAGTGGAAGCTATCGACAGCCTACATCACACTAAACCATGGCCTACTGAATAGCGGAAGCTATCTACAGCCTACATCACACTAAACCATGGCCTACTGAATAGTGGAAGCTATCTACAGCCTACATCACACTAAACCATGGCCTACTGAATAGTGGAAGCTATCGACAGCCTACATCACACTAAACCATGGCCTACTGAATAGTGGAAGCTATCTACAGCCTACATCACACTAAACCATGGCCTACTGAATAGCGGAAGCTACCTACATCGCCCTTAACCATGGCCTATTGTAGAGTACAGACTATCCAAGGCCTCCACGACACTTCACCAGGCCATACCACACTCCATCACAGTGTTCTGTACAGTGGAAACCTACTGATGACTGCCCTCACACCTTCATCCTGGTCACCCACTCCATGAAACACATCTGATTTTGTTCCAAAAAAAATACACCTTTTGCTTACAATATCATAATTAATAATTACTCAATAAAATCAAGCAAATTTCTAAAATCCTCTTAACCCAAAAGAATGCTTCAAGAACTTCCTTTTCCAAGAAATCTCCCCCTTGCCTTCGCTTCGACAATCAAACCTCACCTCCTTACATCTCTTCTGCCAACATCACCAACGAATTCATTCATTCAATTTCCTTCCACTTAATTATATAATTCAACCATTCCAATTCATTCCCAAACTCAGTTCCAGTCACACAGCCATGGAGATATTTGCATATGCAGCTTAAATTATTGGTAGAAACTTCAAAATTTATTCATTCATTCCTCTGTCAACCATACCTACACACAGCTGACCACTGTTGCAATTTCAACCATCACCTGGTAAATCTGTGTCCCTCATTCACTCCCCGCCAACCTTTCATTCACAAATCCATGCGTCTATTTATCCATTCATCCCTCCACAGAACCACAAAATCAAAATTTGTTTATACAAATCCCCTTCCTACTAATGATAATGTACACATATCAGCTCGCACACTCAGCTATTCTCATCCCGCTGCTAGGAGATTCTCAACCGGTTGTAATTTCCCTGTTTTATTTTTCTGTACTAAGTTGCCTCCCTGCAAAGCACTGATGACACATGTTCGGCTATATCTATGTATACATGTATACACATGTGTATGTCATCCTCGTTCCACTGCCATACAATCAGCTGATGTTATGTAATATTAGCACAGGTCTTCTCCCACTACAGCACACGGCTGACAGATAAAAAGGAGCACCTACATCTTCCCTATATACACACAGGGTGAAAGCCAAACCATTCTATATACCTACTGATTATCTGCCGATAGATGGAATTGTCAACATGACTTTTGATAGATTACTCAGTATTACAGTATAAATGAATATATATACCTGAAATCAGATCATATAGTTAAGGTTTAAATCATCACTATCTCCATAGGGCAATATTTCAAAACATTTCACAAATCCTTTAGTCTTTTTCTTATTTTAATTATAATGTAGTTTTAGTTTTAATTTCATAACAAATTTTTAAATTATTTTCTTTACTTTGAGATGGTTTTGAGCCGTTTTTATTACAAATTGAATGTAGAAATCTGAAAGAATACATGTATACATCAAAGTCAAGTTGACAATTGAATCCAATATAAAGTATAACTTACCTGCAAGAACAAAAGGCAGGTGACAGCTTTCAGAGTACTCCTCATGTTTAACTCAGCACGATCAACAGCCCTAAGAAATTTCACCGTACAACAAAATCCAATTTCAATTGACACAAATCTCCAATCAGCTGATTGCCAACTTTGTGCTATCCAGCTTAGGACAAAGCAGCCAATACTATCACTGCTATCACGACTCCAGCATGTATTACAAACCAAACTATGACAAGCAGTGAGTCGGATAACACGCTTTCGCCTCTGCAGTGTCAAGAGTCCCTTTTCTATAGCGTATTGGGCTCCCTCTCTGCGTAGGGTGTCAGTGCGAGAGTAGAGAGTAGCGTAAAGGCCTATTAGGTAGAGTGAGGCAGAGAGTTGGTGGTTTGAGTGGTGTAGTCAGCCTCTGTTTCACTGGAGGGAGAGGGGACGTTGGTCCGACTTATATAACACCCTGCTCAGAGGAAGGGTCCTGCACAGCTAATGGAACGTCAGAGGTAAACTTACACAGGATATGGCTCACGAATTAAATCACTGCTTGGGTCTTTTTTAGATAGTACATACATTCCATACAACCTGAATGGATTTCACAGATTTTACACTAATTATATTTCAGATTTGTTTTCCTTATTATTTTATTGAGTGAAAGAGATTATGATGTCCTTCACCTACTGATTAATGGCTTACTTATTTTACAAAGATTTTGTTAACATATTTGGGTTGAAATAGAAACATAGATTTCTCTATTTCAGTTTAATCATACTTTATAAAACAGGATTCTTTTCATAATTCTCTCTTTTACTATGAAACACATGAATATATTAATTGATAGTAACAGTACTTAAAACTTACATAATATATTGTCAAAAATGTAAATTTTCAACTTTCATTTTCTTTCTAAACCAGCCTTGATTGAAGCTCGATCCACCGATGACTGTTGTAACAGCATGAATGAGTGTTAGGTTAAGAATGAAGGCAGCTTGAACAGGGCATTTCTCAGTGACTCACACAACAAGAAGGCATTCCCCATAATCAGACATATGTTCAACAATAAAAAAGCCTCTGCATTAACATAAACTCAATTTATAACCTTCAACACCATGAGGGAGTGAGGGAGGATAGAAAGGAAAAGAGATGAAGAGAGGGTCCTGGAGAGAGAGGCAGTGAAAAAGATTTTAAGCTGCATTTAACCCTGATTATCATCTAATTATCAAGGGACCCCAAGAATGAACTTGACAAATTTGACAAACTGGCAATAAAACCCTGGTGTTCTGTGCGGCAATTTAACAGTATATCCACTTGGGGGGCCAGTATTTGTTTGTTATTTTTTTATGTGATGTGTGACCCTAATTTTGACAAAAAGTGAAAAAATAAATTTAAAATTTTCACCAACATATCACACATGCAAAAGTATTTTGTGATGCTCAGTGGTTTCAGGAAAAATCATTAACACAATGCTCAAGATTGACATTCCCATTTTTCCCATCAATCAGTCCTAATTCCATCCATGATATATCTATCTGGAGTTCTGAACCTTGTCCTTCCACACTTTCCCCAAAATAAATCCTTTAGTCTCCTGAGAAAAGCTCTGTCATCTGACTTTTGTGGAAAAAAAAGTGATCCGACAAATAGAAAAATAATGGCCTAAGCTATCCCATCACACGACTCAGTGTTCGAGATGCACTTGCAGTAAACTCGGCACATACACATTTTGTACATTGCCGTACAGCAAAGAAGCTATAGTTTGGTAATTCCCTTGCTCATTAACAAACGGTGATGGCCATTTCTTCCTCTCAAATCATGGAGAGATATGATCTGACGTCGGCGGTGTTGGAAACACACCTACTGCCTTCCATGGGAACGTCTCAATGCCGCCACCACAACCACTTTGTCAGGAGAGGTTTTTGTGTGGTTATTATCTCGTATCTCCTTAAACACTCACCACATCAGTCACTCAAATGTCTCAATCTCGCTGGTATATCAGAACATGTATTCAGGGAATTTCATGCAGCTTGAGGAGATGCACACTCAAAATATTAGGTCTCTGTTTACATCCACCCCCATCACAAACTGCCACCATCCAAACTACACGGTGCAAGTCTGACTGAGATGGAGACCTAAAGCAACCTAAGAGCTCCAAGTTCAACAAACATCATCCATCCTATGAAATGAGGCTGTCAGGTGAGACACTTCTGTCTCTCTACCTCTATCCCATGAGGGTTTCCAGGAGGCATTAGTCCCCAACACCCCATACTTGTCTTATGCTTGTTTCCATCATGTTAGGTCCCCAACACCCCATTCCTGTCCCCACATCTTGGTAGGTCCCCAACACCCCATACTTGTCTCCTCCACCACGTTAGGTCTTGAACACCCTATTCTTGTCCCCACATCATGGTAGGTCCCCAACACCCCATACTTGTCTCTCCATTTAGAAAATATCCAAGTTGGTGTGACCACAAAACATCAAAATGGGTCTTACCACAAAACATCCAAGAAGGTGTGACCGCAAAACATATATAAGTGAGAGTAACCACAAAACATCTAAGTGTAGATGACCACAAAACATCTAAGTGTGGATGACCACAAAACATCAAAGTGTGGATGACCACAAAACATCTAAGTGTAGATGACCACAAAACATCTAAGTGTGGATGACCACAAAACATCAAGTGTGGATGACCACAAAACATCTAAGTGTAGATGACCACAAAACATCTAAGTGTGGATGACCACAAAACATCAAAGTGTAGATGACCACAAAACATCAAAGTGTAGATGACCACAAAACATCTAAGTGTGGATGACCACAAAACATCAAAGTGTGGATGACCACAAAACATCTAAGTGTAGATGACCACAAAACATCTAAGTGTGGATGACCACAAAACATCTAAGTGTAGATGACCACAAAACATCTAAGTGTGGATGACCACAAAACATCAAAGTGTAGATGACCACAAAACATCAAAGTGTAGATGACCACAAAACATCAAAGTGTAGATGACCACAAAACATCAAAGTGTAGATGACCACAAATCATCAAAGTGTAGATGACCACAAAACAAAATATTACATCAAAGTTGAAGACATCAACCATTCTCCCTTTGGGCTTTCATCCCACAATAAGCTGTGATGTCACTAAATACTGTTCAAAGCTGCATAAAACCCAACTCACTCACTCACTCACTCAGCCAAAGATGTGGAAACTATGAGATTACTGCCCAGCTACAACACACAGCTGCTCTGTATGCACATACTACAGCAAGCAGAACAGAGATCTCAGGCAGTGTGACTATTACCACAAAGTCAACACCAGCCTTTGAGACCTACCCTCACATGTTTACAAACATTTATGTAATGTGTCAACAAAACCGCCTGGGTGTACCACCCTAACAACTGGGAGGGGTGGGTGTCAAGTTGTTGGGATTTCTGACATATTTCCCCCTACCCGACTGATCCCTGTCCGGGACCCCTAGGGAGCTGTGCAAATGCTTCAATGGAGGACCCACAAAGTGGAGCCATGGGGGGGCGATATCTCTATCACACGTGTCACGCTTATATACACGGTGATTGCTAGTAGCAAGGTAATGGTGTAAAATGCCTTATTTTTGCAATGTAAGATTCGGGATTTCTAATAATTCATGCCTGGTATCATTTCAATGTCTACATCTACAATTAATTTGTTCATCAAAAAGTAAAATAAAAATGTGTCTGATAATAGAAATATTTCAAGGCTATGTAATCAGTACTTGTTTAATCAGTTTCTATAAGAGTTTTGACTTGGACAGATAATAAATACATTGACTGGTCACTTTCTAAGATAACAAAGAGTGATAGCGACTCATCAAGGCAAACTCACAAATGAAGATTGCCATAAATACTTTTTAAGTGGCATTTTAGAAGCTGTAGTATCAATGAAGACAGAGTTAACTTATGGTTTTCAATGTCTTTATTCTTTCAATCTACGTTTTTGGTACAGGTGCACAGTCCCTTTATCAAGCAAGTGTCCGAGATTCATTTGAACTCCAGGTTGGAATAGGTCTTCAGCAACCCATGCTTATTGTATTGGGTGGTCAGGTTCGCTGACTTGGTTGATGCATGTCATCATATCCCAACTGCAAGGACTGATGCTCATGATGTCAATCATTGGATTGTCTGGTCCAGACTTAATTACTTACAGAAGGCTGTCATATAGTTGAATAGCAAGCATAAAAAAAAAGTTGAAATTCATAAGTTAACCTTCATTACTCTAAACACTGACACTCCAAATATAGGACCTTTACCAGAGTCATGGGGCAAAACTCTCTTAATAAAAGCCTTGCAGTAACCTGATGCTACCTGACAATAATCAAGTCTGGGCCAGTGGTTGATAGGAAGGATCCATGATGACCAACCAATCCTCAATAAGTCACTTCATGGGTCACTTCATACCAATTCTACTCTGGAATCCTCCTGTCTCTGCATCCTGGTTTAATCCAAAACATCCAGGTTTGAATCATCAAAAACGTTTTCAATTCTTATGAATTCTTTTTTTCTCACCCATTAGGGTGGTGGGAAGCCTAGTGGTTATAGCGTTCACTCCTCACGCCAAAGGTCCGGGTTTAATCCCCAACAAGAGCACATTGTGTGCGAGCCCATTCATTGTTCAAAATAAACACCTGCTCGAAGGCCTGTGGAAGATAGGTCTGGCATAGGGCCTGTAGTTTCAAATGTGTATGGGTCAATTGGCCTGCAGATAATTTACATGTGTGTGTCTGTTTGTACTAGTCCGGACTGATGCCTATTTATAGTGCTAGCCCACTGAGATACCATGCTGCAGTTTAACATGAATACCCCACTCAGACACAGTATACTGACTCCAAGCCGACTAGTCCTTGTTTTAGCCCCTTAATGACGAGCGCCAGACAGGGTAACAACAAGTACCATCTTTTAACGTCTTTTGGTATGACACCGCCGGGGATCGAATCCCTGACCTTCCGTGGTCTAGTGGTAGAGCGTCCACCCAGAGAGCGGGCCCTGAGCTGTTTTTCCAAAAGGAGGACATAGACCACGGAGGTGGTCAGTAGTTTTTATAGTCTGTTGGTCCCGATGGCAGCCTGGCTAATTGTTTTATTTCACACACTGAGCCCATTTCTTGTATCTGTTTGTCTCTTCCTAGACTATCATACAGGCCCTGGAACAAACAATATCCACCTTCCAAACAAGTCTAGATTCCTTCAGTTTCTGAAAATGAAGACATTCTTTGGCCTCCGTTATCAAAAGACAACATAACAAAAAAATATCCTAAAATATTTCATGTCAGAGATTAAATGTTAGTCTAAGCTCTCCTCTTTAACACAGTAACCCACTTCTCCTTACCTGTTCCCCCACAGTTTAAATCAACACAGAGGCAGCCTGTCTGGGTTCCCCCATCCTGACCATGCCGATGGATAGCCTTGAAGTGC